AAAAAAAAAAAATTACACATTAAGGCTCCTGCAAGTACGAGAATATAAAACCACATAGAAATAAAATAGGCTCATAACAAAAAAAAAGTGGTTGAGTTCCTCTTTATTTTAACTAGTATTCGTCCTGCACAAGCACAGATATATGTGCACAGACACAAATAAAAATTATATATGTATATATACAATATTTAAAATTTAGATTAGATAAAGGATGTAATAAATTTTAAGACTTTTGACTATATGCAGATGTATAATATAAATATATATTATTTAACTTGCTTGTGAATCTTTGACATAAATTTTAATGGACAATGTAATTTTGTAAATTAGAAGGATAATACAATTAATTAGTTACAAAAGTATTACAATTATTTTATTATTGTTATAGTAATTACTTATGTAATTTTAAGGAGTTTAATTATGACATCATGTCAATTAACTAATATTCGAGAAAATTCGCTTAATAAGAAGAAATATAATGTTTATTGTAGAATAAGTATAATAAAGAATAAAAAATTGCAATACAATTTTTTTATAAGTATGTAACTTTCACATAGTACTCAATGTAAATTTATAATTAGTTAGTATTAGTTGTAATTGTTACATAATAAATTAGTTTAAATTATTATTACACTTTATTCATGTATAACTAGTACAGTTCCCGTGCGATGCACGGGGGGTTTATTATTCCCGTCCCTTTTAAAAAGCAATTTTTTGTTAAAGTTAAAAGTATTTACTAAAGGAAAGATCATGTCAATAATTAATAAATTAATAAATATAATAAAAATAAAATCTATATATTATTGAATATTTCCTCATATAAAAACCCTTATGAAATTCAACACGTACTAATAATGTTTTTTTTTTTTTTTGTTTGCATGATGATGGTTGGTGAGAATAAACTGGAGCTCAAATGTAAGTCAAATGTAAGCTTTAAATAAGATATTTGGTGGGCTACAACACATTAAGAAAGATATGAATATCATTTATCACATAATTTGTTATTCGTTATTCATAGAACTGTTTGCATCAGCAGATGTATTTACTAAATAATCTCATATATCATATGTGTTTGTTTCATTTCTTTTACCATTTACTACCTGTTTTGACGTTTTCTTTGGACATATCTCTGTTGTTGTGCTTACTCATTTTCCATTGTGATTGAAATGTTATCATTCTGCATCTTTTTACGTTCTTTTTTGAAACTGTAGGAGTGAAACTTTCATTCCACTGTTGCTCTTCAAAATCAGTTATGAAGTATCGTGCAACACTCTATATAATATGTAAAACATCAAGTAAGAACATTAATTTGTAAAATTCTGAATCAAAGACATAAAATATATAGATGCACGGAAGTCTGAATTACCAAAGTTAGGACATATCTGGAGCTTTTGTTTAACAAACTCAATGTGAAGATAAATTAAATTTAAACTACACTTACAGTTGAATATGAATGTGAAAACAATACTTGGTATTAGCTACTATCTCTATGAGTTTGTAGTATTAATTGTCCTCTAAATTTCAAACTGTGTTGATCTTCATTCAAAACTACCACGCATTATCTGAATATGCTTCAGCAAGTCTATCTTGTTTTCATACTTGTTTCAATTATGAATATAAATGTTATTTGAAGTTAAATTTTATATGAATAGACAGGTGATATGAACAACAGTGAAATGCAATTTACCTCGGAATATGTGGCATAAAATGATGCATTTAAATTAAATTTAAATTTAAATAATATATTACCTTAGAATCGTGAAAGATAATATCATGAACATTTCGGTAATTGCGTACGTCTTCAACTCGTTGGAACATCCTAATTATGCGTAACTTGATTGGTGGCTTATTGGATCTTTGGATATTCTTGATGACTCCAAATTTCAAAGGCATTTTGAATGATGTTGTAAAAGCTTCGTGAAAAAAGTGTATTGTGGAATGGATGTTGAATATTTGTTGTTCAAGGTTTGTGATGTATATATAGTCATGTGTATGTACCGTAAGCCACTCACGGGGATTTAAAAGATATTTACGTCATGTACTAATCTATTTAATTGATAATATCTGATATTTTTTATTATGATATGATAATATCCCGTGGGATCTTATCCGACTTATTTGATTATGCTTATGATGAGTTAAAAAAATATGTATTTTTGGTTTTGGTAAAACAATAAAAAAATGTGGTAAGTGATTCACATGTGAGGGACGCACGAATATTTTGAAGATTATTTTGCCAAAAA